AACATAGCAGAGTTAAAATTAAATATCAATGCTACATAAAAACTGTAGTGAAGGTCTTTAAAGTAAACCATGCCATACAGAGATGTGCTTTTGATGTGCAAGAAAAGCAACTACCCAGGAGTTTAGTGCCAAATGCATATCCCACATGACTTCACACTAAGATCTCCTGCAAGTTTTGCATTTTTATTCTGACAGAGTAAGAGTCATTGGCATCTTTGAAAGACACCAAAAGACTCCAAGACACAGCAGCACAAATCGTGGTCCCCTTAAGCTGCTGGCCCGTGCCTTGGAGAAGAAATGGAGGAATAAACTGATGGAGGCCGAGTGCACAGCGCGAGGTTAGCAGATGAAATACGAAGGTTAAGACCCACAATTGCTGAGTGTCATGCCAGTCGTGGCCATAGTCAATCTGTGGGGCTGAGATCAGGTGCTGGCATCAAGTGATTTACTGCAGCTGAGCTAAGTGTCTTGCCCCCTGAGGTCCAAACATAAATACAGCCATGCTTTTTCCAGCCGGAATCCCAAAAGCAGTCCTGTAAATCGTGCCTCATTTTCAAAAGTTATTTTCAGGGAGGAAAATAAACAAACAAAATATAAAGCTGAGATTCTCTCGTTGCCATGTTTTACATCTATGAAAAGCTGCTGGAGGCTCATGCCCCAATTCTACACAAAGCAAACCTCCTAATAAACGCCCTGTAGCCAAGTCAGCAAGCCATCCAGAACATTGTTCTCAGCTCATGGAAGAGAATTACTTCCTTCCCTGACAGTTTCTGAGGATGATGCTGTCAAAGAGAACAAAAGATTGAGTTTTTAATTATGCTTAAAGAAACGCAGCAACATCCGGGGTGCTGGTTTCATTATAAGTCATTCCATGCTGGAAGGATGCACCCTCACTGTGAAATGCTCTTACAGCAGAGGACAGGTGGGCAGCAAAATAATCCTACAGTACTCTGGATCTGCACTGTACTCCATCAGAGGTGAACACACAAAACATAATTACAAGTTCTGCATCATCTCACCAGGTACTTCTGATCTGCCTTTTGCAAAGCATTAAAGAGGAGCATCTGCCCAATGCTGAGCATGTGGACTAATAAAGACTGGAAATTATCCTTGCAGTGACGTGCCACTGTCTGAGAGCTTTTGCAGCACTGGAACTGAAGAAGGTACGTAACAGGAAGGAATACTGTTTTTGCAAAGGAGACTGCAGACAAAACGCTGAGGTGAACATCACCCTGACAGGCTGCTGCAAAGTGAAAAATACAGTCTGGAAGACAGCTGAAACAAATAAGTTTTTATTTCACGGGAAAGCAGGCATCTCCTTCAAAGCACAGTGCACTACAGGACCACAAAAAGACACTTTGTCAGTGTTGATGATGGAGAGATGAACCCTAGAAGGAGCAGCTTGCAGTAGCATCACGCTGGCATTTTCCTGAAGTGCTCCATTCAGCCACATTCGCCCATTTTGCACACAAGCCTATTTTCTCAGGTGGGAAAAAAATGGTGCCACACCATTTTTCGCCCTCTGTTGTGCTTGCCCTTCCCTTTCTTTTTGCTGTCCCACTGGGGCTCAAAGAGTGATTCCAAAAAAAGCCACAACCTTCATGTTATTATCAGATGAAGCACCTACTGCAAAGCAGACAGCTTTCCTTGCAGGTGTTGCACTTTTCTCCCCTGGGTAAGCACAATACCACCCACTCAGCTCTAAACCAAGTTCTCACTTTATACCTTCCTACCAGATCCAAAAAATAAGTTGACAAAAGTAAACGGGGCTGAATTTAGACTTTTTAGTTTCTGCCAAGTAAAACAAAAAACAGAAAAAACCTTAAGGCAAAAACAATTCACATAATGCAAACAATGAGAAATATACAATTAAAGAAGCTATTTATGCTTCTGGAGCTGCAAATGTGCTGCAGGTAACAGAAAGTTTTCTTCCTATTAAAAAGACAGTCACAAATTACCTTGAAGGAGAAGGAAGGATAAAAATGATCTTTGAAGGATGAGTGTGTGGGAAGTACCTTTGAGCTTTTCTGTTTTGTCAGCTTAGTCTTATCATTAGAATAAAGAAAATAAAATCCACTGGAAAAGAAAAAAAAAAGAAGAAAAAAGAGGACAAGGGCTCATCTGTCTGCTGGTACAGAGCGAGGCCGCTCCACTGCCTCTGGAGCTTTAACCTTTCACACCCCCAGGGAGGGAGTTCACGCTGTGGATGATCTACACAGAGTTTATCTCTCCCTAAATCCTCCACTTCAACACAATGCATAATGCAGACAGTTGTTTTGTATTACCACTTTGCAGTCCGAGGCTTTCCTAAGGACAACAGTTAATAAGGAGGCACCCCAGTGGGTAACATGAAAATCTGTCTTGTGCATTCCTTCTCGGTTTATTTTCTTACAGTGGAGGCAAAAATACACTAAGCAAACTGATGTATTTTTAGAGCTCCGTGTTCCCAAACATTTGCATTAGAATCAACTGCTAATAAATCCAGCATATCCAAAGTGATTTTCTGTACCTAAATTGCAGGCTTGTGGAAAGCACAACATGCAGCACACTTAAATGCCTTTCAAACTGTTAATCTCACTTTTTAATATAATTACCCACCTTTTCACTAAGACAGGGCTAGATACAGAATGTGCTGCTGCCTACCTGTGCAAAGCTGGCAGCATGCAGCTTTTCTCTATCCCAAGTGAGAGCAAGTGGGCTGGTAACATCCACAAACACAGGTGTTGCAGGTGGAAATAGCAAATGGGTATACGATTGCATCTGTGCTAACTGCTCAGATCACCACCTACACTCCCTGTATTCACAGCTTTTCAGCAGGAAAAACCAATCTGAACTCACACTGCTAGGCAGCACAAACAGATCCAAGTGCTGCTGTGTACCAGTGGGCTTCGCATGCCCAGCTGACCCCCCCCAGCACAGCCTGCCCTCCTTTGCAGGCATCTCTTCATTGCCCCCAGGTAAATTCAACAGGCTCGTTGTGCATCTCAGCACTGTCAGGCTACTGTGTCAAAAGGCAGTAAGCTATGGGATAGCATCATGTAACTTCAAAGCAGAAATACAAAGCCCAGGCCAGTGAATATTTCATGCTAACGCCTGTTCTCTTGGCCCGTGATTCCGCACACAGTGTTGTCTAAGCTGTTTTCTCCAAAAGGATTTAAAAAAAAGCCTTGTTCAGGAGAGAAGCGATAATTTACGGCTTCCATTTACTTACTATTCTACACCAAGAGAGAGCATGGGATGAACCAAGCTGACTTCTCCATCCCTACCTGTGTGAACTCTGCAGGCAGTCAGCCAATACCTGCAGCTTAGAAGCCAAAACCAATGCTGTAGTATCTCATCAGGAGCCATAGAGGAAGATCTTAACACCACTCTCACTCCAGGAAAGGGACAAATAGTCAATAGCGCAGTTGAACCTCCCGCATTTTGTCTGAATTATTCCTCTCCCATTTTCTTTCGTGGTGTTTTATCCCCCACTCAAAGATATATCCCCTCAGAGCACCCTACACAACCCTCTCCCTGTGGGTGCACATACCTTTCAACTGCTCTCAGATGACTTTTATAGCCTATCCTTAACAGTTGTTTAGTCAAGCCATACATACTTTATCACTTTAATCTCCCCTTATGAATCAAGCCCTCAATCCTCTTCATCATTTTTGCTGTCCTTCCCTAGCAGTCTATTCCTTCTTAGCTGCTGTTCTCCACACCAAGTTGATAAAAGAAGATATCAAATATTTGGACACCTCCTATATTTCGCAAATCGTACCAGTAGCTTTTGTTGTACTTTTCTGACCTATGCATCATGATGTTTATTTCGCCTGTTCATTGCATTCTTTTGCTCAAAATCTCACTAATCCTCCAGTAGAGAAAGAATAAGCAGGTAATCAAAATATGGAATACTAAAAAGGTCAACATAGTACAACACCTGAGCTACTACATGTATTAGATACTAAAATTTTTATATCTTGCACATCTGAGAAGAGAGCAAGAGAGAAAGAAAAAGAGCAAAGGATGGAACAACAATCCGTTCAAGCATAAAAGACTGTAATGAACAAAGAAAAAGATGAGTTCTGAACTACATATCCTAAAAAAATAATCCTTTTTTTTCAATAGGAAAACGGATTTCCCCTTATCTACTGTATGCTAAATATTTAGAATAAGGCTGCTTTTCAGGAAGATCCAAAATAAAGCCTGTCCTGGAAAGAATGAGTTGGTAGGCCACTACAAATAACGTAAATAGACCCTTCATACACTGAATCCTTAAGATCATGTTAGTATTGTTTATATTATAGTAAAACACATATCAAAATAATATAAAAAATGACGTAAGGAAGAAACCATGTTTCTCACAGAAGCCTTCAATTGAAATAGATATAAAAGTGTTAGGAAAGTACTGAAGCATAAGAGTTGAAAGAAAAAGTCTCCAAACATTTCAGATTTTTCTGTTTACATTTTTGTTATGACATATTTTTGCTCCAGAAAATAGAAAATATATATTTTTAGCTGATGAAACATACAGTCAAAGCTCATGTTTAAGATGTATATGGAATAAAACTCAGCCATGGCTTTTCAGACTACGAGAAGTCGTAAGTAAAAGGAAATTAATGATTCCCCTCGATAGAACAGATTCTGTTTTATCTGCCCTGCTGCTAAGTGGGTATAACTGCATATGTGTTACATATATTTTCCTTTTAACAGCCAAATTCCTTGTTTACAAGGTCGAAAATGATATAAACCCTAAAAATTTTAGAAACATTTATGCGGGTTGGCAATGGAAGTGACAGCTATCAGGCTGCGAGAGAACTGGTGAATGAGGATGAATTTAGTCCTTTGGCTACGCATCTGTTACAGACCAAAAGCCTTGAATTGGAAGAGGGAAAGGCAATGGCAGCAAACCAGGACTTCATTCATCAATTAAATTCATTTTTTACAGTAGCATAATGAATATCCAAGGGAGTGTTTAATGCCAAGCAGAAGAAATAAATAACGAAGAGCAAACTTACAATTAAAAATACGGATATGGAGAAGCCTTCTACAAGTTGGAGAGATTGCTGGTTTTTTGCCCAACGATTCATCCTTCAAGGAGCATGCATCTATTCCTGCAAGAAAAGAAAGGTCACTGTACTACAATATGGATGAAGAACATGCCTGTCTGAAGTTTGGCTCTCAATGTACACATACCATTAGATCCCTGGAAAGCAGCAGCTCATGACTCACCAATGGTACACAGGATGTCATTAGATTTCTCCAAACTAGGTAACTTCCTGTCCTCACATGAAAGTTAATATCAAAGCTCAGCGCATACAAAACCACCACAGGAAATGACCCATTCAGCACTTTTTTCTGCATGTGAGAAGCTGAAGGCTTACTAGAACTGAAGTCATGACTTGAAGTCATTCTCCATTTATATTTTTTTTAACAATTATGTTTGGTCTGAAATCAACAGTTTGTGAGGAGTTTGCTCAGAACATCAAGGAATCATAGAATGGCCTAGGTTGGAGGGGACGTTAGAGATCAAAGGAAATTATTTACATGTACAGTTTGCAAGCAGCACGGAAATCTAGCTTCATTTATATCATGCCACATTCAACCATGCCAGTCTTCCCAAGCCTTGGACCAAACTCCTTCCAGGCAACTGATGACTGAAAAGCCTTCTCCTTTACGTTATATGCAAAAGGTGCATCACTTAGGAGCCTACCAAGAAACTTCAAGGTCTGAGCAACTGAAAAGTTACCCTTCGTAAGGTGAAGAGATCTTATTTACTGCATCAAAACCCATAAAAAACAATGTATGTCCAATAATGTTGCCATTGCTGAGACAACTAACAAGTGAAATAAACACTCAGGATGCTCAGAAACGCTGATATAGCATATGAGATGATCATTACATAAGTGAATATGGAATTAGAGGGACCTCCAGATGTTTTATTCCTCTTCTGTGTCTTCCTTAGGTTGGAAGGACACACCTAAAATCCTTTTTCCCAAGTCAATGCTGTATTACAGCATCCTGAACAAATGCACAGAATTACTGAAGTAGATTTTGCATTAACTCCTTAAAAATAAATGACAGCAATGAGTAGTTATGAAGTTTTATACACGTAACTACATCAAATCAATAACATAGCACAGATGTCAACAAAAGTTGCAGGGTGAAGGAAAGAGTAGGAATATATACGAAGATGACATAAACAGGAGCAGCAACGCTGATTTGTGTGAGGTTGCTCCCACCAGCACCAATGTCAGGCAGCACCATTGAAGCACTGCTCCCACGTGTTTTCACACCCCAGAAGGCAGCCAGCAGCCTACTGGGCAAAACCAGTGCTGAGATCAGTGTTTCTTGGTATACCTTCCTGAAGAGAACCAGTGCAGAAGGGTCAGGCAGGCACTGGGCTGTGTTGGCTTTCCTTTCATTCTTTACCTTGGTCACAGAGCAGTCCTGGATCCTTCCTGACTCCTCTCGCTGGAGATCTGCCAAAAGTTGAGTGCTCTTAGGAATGCAAGAAACACACTGACCAGTTCTCTCAACAATTTCTGTGGGTGTTGCTTTCTAGCAATCATTAAGAGTGGAGCACGCACCCAGCAAAGCCCTGGATGTGAAAAATAAAGCAAATAAGGCAAATGAATGCTCTTCTTGCCATTGAAGAGTGGACAGGAATCCCAGCATCACTTTGCCTGGAAATACCGCATTCCTTCTCCAAGAGAGAGATTCATCATGGGGACAGGGAGGTCTGAGAACAGGAGGGAGAAAGGGAAATCAGAGGTTGGAGGGAATACATCGCCCAGTAGAGAACTGAGGCCACTGCGCTGCAACTGGGAGAAAACAATAAAAATTTAAAATAAAAACAAAAATGGAAAAAACAAACAGCTGTGTCACCAAGGCTGCTTCCTCTTAATTTTTTCTCATTAGAATGTTAAAAAAAAAAAAAGGCAAAAGGACAATTGTGTCATGATTTGTGCCTGATGCTCCATTTTTTTTACGTCACTTTCCTGTCCCCTTCATTTCTTAGCTAATAACTCATTAACTTTTTTTTTTTTTTTTTTTTTTCCCCGGAAATCTCAGTTAACTAAGAGTGGAAACAGACACAGTAAATTTCTAGATAAGTAACTTGAAAAGATACAATCAATAAAATCCTGGGTGGCAATAATGTTTCCATATTAAATTTATGGCATCTGTTTAAACAATACTCTCCCTCCTGCATTATTCTAAATGGTGCTTCAGGAGGTCTTTTTTATAGACTATATTTTTTCTTTTATGGAGGGACTGTAAACAGGCAGTTAAACTAATATTTTGGTACGTTTGGCATGCTGGGTTTCATTTTATAGAGCCTTTCAATAAAAACTCATTGCAGCTTCAAACGCTCTCTTACAGCGTGAAAACTGGAATGGCAGAAATTTCCTTTCTGCTCTACCCAAGGCACAGTGCTGCATAAAGATGGGTCACAGAGCTTCCTATGGGATATATTAGAAGCATACCGTGAGAAATGGGAAAGTTCCAAAACAAAACCCATCTCTGGCTTCATGTCCAAGGTTCAAGCCAAAAATGAAGCCCACAGCAAAGCCTTGCTGGTCGAGGAAACAGGGTTAGATGTAAATGTGTGCTGTTATTTATATTTTAATTAAGAAGTCCTATTCATCTTCACTTGCCTTCTGCTCCAGCTACTAAGAAAAGTAATGCTCAGAAGGAACCAGCCTCCAGCAGCCAAAGCAGAGTTTTGGGCAGAACCAAAACTCAGCAGTGCTCCAGTTGAGTGGTTTAACAAAAAAGGTACTCACTTCCCACTCCAGTAGTTTCTTTAGGACTACATAAGCAATTCTGTCCTCTGGGTCTGTTTCTACCTCATTTCCCAGTGAATGATAAACTCTGAGCTATACAGAAGATGTAAACACAGACACAAATATTCTCCATATCAGTGGAACTAAACATCAATTTCTTCGTTTAGGATGTTCTCTGGAGGGATTTTTAGGGTTATTGTTTTGTGATGGGGTCAACTCTCCTCTCTATGCTCATACAGCACTGTGCATATGGAAGCCTTTAAGACCCATTGCAAGTAACACTAATAATGCAATAGGGACACCAAAGTAAGACAAGCAAGAACTTCTCACTTTTTGGAAACAAACAGCATCATAAATAGGATGATTCCTTCAAAAGCGAGTGGATATGCACTTCTAACCCAGAGAAGCAATACTGTCTTCAGAAAATGCTGGTATCCAGAGCTTTGTTTCACCCTTGCTCGACATTGAAGCAAGCTCTCTGAGCTATAGGACTCTCAGGAACTTCTGCTAACATCACACATTTTTTGGACAAGTGATTTGCTACCCGAACTTAAGCCTCCTCCTAAAAATGAAGAGCAAGGTATTTATGTTCCAAGTAACCAGACTTGTACCAACTGGAAGAAAGAATAAAAGGAAACAGAGAATATTAACTCTCTCTGCTTCTTATTTTTATTGTCTTTATTGATTGGGAGAAGAGGTTCTATGATAGGAACTCTTCTGCATGAGCTTTCTCAATGTCTCTGAGTGCAGGTGCCATAATTTGTGCTCTGTCACAGGTGATGAATTTCACTGAATTTAAAGGAAATTAAAAAACAAAACAAAACAAAAAACCTGAAAGCATTTCATAAATTTATCAACATTGAAGAAATAATGCCAACATTTTATAGAGAAAGATTTCTCTATAGATGTTTTCAACAGCATGCTTCTTGTTGTCTGTAATCAACTTTGGATTAAACTATTTATCAGCAATATTTCAAAAGCCTGAGAGGAACTGGAACCCCTGTTTGAGTTATCCTATGGAAGAAGATTCAGCCTTAAGTAGACAAATAGCTACACCTGGCTGCATTGCAGCTCTGGTTGGGCAGGACAGAGAAATGCTTAGCCCACTCCAACAAGGAAAGGGAGAAAAAGCCTTCACTCCATTCTCTTCTCCTTTATACATTAGCTGCCATCCCCTACCAGATCCACACCTAAAACCTTCCTTAGGTGAAACAGTTCCCCAGCATGTGTCAATAATTTGAATGATCAGTTGGAATTCCTCCCTCAATCATTTCCTAGTAAAGCAAAAATTATTTACACTTATTGTGGCTTGGGCACATCCAGCTGCTGCTTCACCTACTCCTTCCACAGAACATTAAATCTCATAAAGCAATTGGAAACAATGGAAAAAAAATAAAATAAAAATGGGAATCGTGAAGCAAGTATAAGCAAGAGCAAAGGGAGGAGCTCTGCTTTTAGCAGCTTCAGTCTGTAAATTGAAAAAGAAAAAAGCAGCTAAATCAGCAGGAGGGAGAGCGCTGCTCCAGGTCTGCATCAGGCACAGCAGCCTTTCACAATGTGAACTTTGCTCAGGTGTTCCCTATTTCTTCCCAAATACAATGATTTAGCACCTTTTTGCCAGCTAGCAAGATGAGTGGGTCTGAGGGGTTTCTGTGCCTGCGGTGTTGGGTGCTGACCTGGTTCCTGAGCACCGTGCTCTGCGCTGCTGCTGTAAGCTCTATTTATAATCCTCCTTCCTGCACATCCACTCACAAAAATATTATCAGCCTGTCTGGGATGTGACCTTTTCCTTATGCAAGTATTCTGGCTAAAAACCTCAGAACCACTGCTGTCATTTGTTGCTTCCCAGCTCCTTTTCTAACAGCCCAAGGACTGAGATCTGCGAGAGCTGAGAGGATTTTCAGAGACTGATTTCAAGCCTTCTGGAAATTCCTAAAAGCACAACTTTGGGGTTTTTCTATTTTTGTTTTAAAACAACATTATCTTGTTTCAGCAACAACATAAATCCAACAAATTAGATTTCCTTACCTTGGAAAAGGTCGATCTCCAAGAGATAGGAATTCTGAATAATACTTCATCTAACGTTCTCTCCCAAGGTTTAATATGAATCACCACCTGCAACTGTCTCTGAGCTTAGACAGCAAGGGGGAAACAGCAGCACTGTGCTGGATCACAGGCCAGGCTGCTCGGCGTTATTCTCCCACATTGACTAGTTCAGCTAATTAAAACCTTGTTTCCAGCTGATGATAGCTTTGGGGGAGAAAAAAAAAAAAAGCATCAAACTTTTCTTCCAAAATCACTGAGTCTTTGAATACTGTAAACAGAAG